GGGGGCAATGCTCGTTAACATTTTGCTATATAACGGATACTTCATTACTTGTACCTAATACAGTAAGACAAATTTCGGCATAGATTGGAAAATTTTTATTCGTTGCATGATACTAAAGACTAAAATGTATTGTAAAACAACATGACAGTTATCAGTTATTTAGGAAGGTTTCCTTTTTTACTTTTTTAATATTAGGTGGAAACTGATTCGTAACGTTTCTGAGAGCAGGGGCGTAGGAAGCACCTGGAGTTTGGGGGGGCACCGGCTTGTAGGGGCACATTACTATCGGAAAGGGCACCTAAAAAATTTTTCCCGGAAATGTTGTCGACGGGGGGGGGGGGAGAAATTTCTCCTGAGGAAAATTTTCCGTCGTATCATACCGAAATTTATGTTTGTGACCTAATTTTTAAAAAAAATTTGTAAATTTCCACACAAAAACGGCACCTATTGTTTTAATTTAGTATTTACAGCGACATTAGCTTCTACAAAAGGGGCACTTTTCCTCACAAAAAAGGGCACTTTTCAACACAAAAAGGGAACTTTTTATCACAAAAAAGGGCACTTTTAGTCCTTTAAAAAAATTTTGGGGGGCACGTGCCCCCCGTGCCCCCCCCCGCTTCCTACGCCCCTGTCTGAGAGGAATTCAGATTCAAGTATGAGCTAAATTGTTTAAAAACAGTTTTCTATTTCAATTCATGTGAAAAACGCATGACGTTCGAAGTGCAGTTTTGGTAAAAAGGCAACCTGCTGCCTCCGTGCTGCCCCCGCACTGTTTAGGCAACGGGGGCAGGAGTGTATCTAAAAGTCGAGGGTCGAGAGTCGAGAGTAAAGGTCGAGAGTCGAGAGTAAAAGTCGAGAGTCGAGAGTAAAGGTCGAGAGTAAAAAGTCGAGAGTCGATCGAGAGTAAAAAGTCGAGAGTCGGCAAATGTCATCAGAAACAACAAAGTCAAAATACTTTTACAGTAACACAATATATAAGCGATCCGTAACAACGGCTGATTATAGCCGTACGGGCGAGGGGGGGGAGGCAGTCCCGCACCCCAGTCAAAATAAATTCGGCCAAAAATTGGGGGAAATAAATTTAAAAAGAAGACAGTATATGCAATATGGTATTTGAAAATACCAGAAATATGTAAAAGTAACGAGGAATCGACAAATAGGAAAATATTTTTGTCTACTTCCCAACGACAATTTTGGAAATTTAGTTACACGGAAAATTTTATTCAGTGGGTAAAAGTCGGGTAAATTTCTTTCTGGCTCCCTGTTTTTTCCCGCCCGTACGCCTATGACGGCTGAACCTTTCATTCCCTGTGTATCGGAACATAAAGCAAACAATATTTGCGAAACATAATTTAGTATGCTGAAATTCTCGAAATTAAAGTAAACAAGAGGCATATACATGCAATCAAAGGAATAATCCAGTACAATATAAAACAAAAACTTTCGCAAAAATTTAGCCACAACATTCAATAATCAAATAACTATTATCTAATAACTAGTTTTATCGCTTCCTTATATATTACTGTCCATCCTTCCCGCTTTACATGCACTTATTTCCGCGAAAAATTACTCATATGTGAAGCTACATATAAATACTAGGACTTTACAATTACGTGCGAGACATATTACCACCCGATAGAGTCGCACATACGACAAAAGAATCCTATTTTTACTGGCTCGTATTTATGAATTCACAATTGTATGAATCGTTAGATTGTGATCAACGTGGATTTCTTAATACGCTCTCGTTTGATACTGAAACGTACGTTAATGAATAAGTGACATTTTAGTTACAAGCCTGGAGATGGCTGTCAAAATTCAGCCGAGTTTATGTGTCAGTTAGAATGAAATGACATGTGAAAACATTTAGCAAGATTGAGGCATCAAATGCGATATTATTTTCTTATACAATCTTTTTTGTTTTTGTTATCACGTTATTATTATTGACGTTGGCGGAAATCTTGGTGGGCCGCCCCCCCCCCCCACCTTCCGGAAAATTGACGAATTTTCGGAAATTTTGATCTAAAAGGAGGGTCTTAATGGGGGTCTTTGGGTGTCAGTTGTCAGCTAAAATTTAAGCCAGTTGTCAGTTGTCAGTGCGATATATTGCAAGCTGTCAGTAGTCAGTTACTGCAAAATGCTGACTCATCACTTTTTCATCATTTCCCAGTTGTCAGTTAGGATATTTTGTCAGTTGTCAGTCAAAAATTCAGCCAAATGTCAGTAGTCAGTTAACCCCATTCAGACAGACCCTCTAAAAGTGGGCTAAAAACAGTCTTTTCGAGTGCAAATTGGGGGGGGGGGGTACGTCGGAAATTTCAAAGTTTTGTCGGAAATTTAGGAGGCTTTGCCCCCCCCCCCCACACCGGAAAAAGTGAATTTCCGCCACTGATTATTGACTGTTGTAGCAATATTTATTGGAAAGTTTGTATTTCAGCCGTTGGTACTTGTTACGGAATGGCTATGTAAAGCTATATATATAGATTGTGTTAAACGTGGTTAAAAAATAAAAATATTTTGACTTTGTTTCTGATGACATTTGCCGACTCTCGACTTTTTACTCTCGATCGACTCTCGACTTTTTACTCTCGATCGACTCTCGACTTTTTACTCTCGACTCTCGACTTTTTACTCTCGACTCTCGACTTTTACTCTCGACTCTCGACTTTTACTCTCGACTCTCGACCTTTACTCTCGACTCTCGACCCTCGACTTTTAGATACACTCCGGGGGCAGCTGCCCCCGTGGCTCCGGCGCCCCTGGTTCTGCTATGGCCGATGGCATTTAACAGTTTTACAAATTAATATTTCATCCATATTTTAATCAAATCTACATTTAGCATAATTTATCATGATTTAGCATTAGCACAGAGGACAGAGATCGAATTTTATAATGGCGTAACATGATAGCTCTTATTGCCGAGGCCTCCCGTGGTGGGAATATAGTTTCAAAGCTTTTTCGACTGCAATTTTCAAACCGATGCTACAGATGGACGAGACCGTTGAATATGGCAATTCTATCCTCATCTGGCAAGGAGATTTTTCCTCAAATAGTCAGAAGTATCGAGAGTTACTTCAAACAAAAGGAAATACAATTTCAACATGGTCACACAACTATAATAGCGAAATGTCCATTTTGTTCTACCATCTCGAGCAGGGAGTCGAGGACTTCAGCAGTTGAGAATCAGGGATCATTTAGTTTGTTTGTCAACAAAACAACTGGTAATCATGTATGTAATAGTTGTAACACGTCAGGGACATGGAACCAACTTAAGGTAAAATATCGGGGGTCTAGATCGTTACTAGGCTAGATCGATAAAGAAACTTAATAATACTTTTAGGGATATATCGAATTTACTCGTTTGAGCTTTAGCGCATCTCAAGTTTATAATTCAAGATGGCGGCGATATACAGGGTGTCCCAAAAAACCCGAAAACTATTGAAATCACCAATAACAATTTAATTGTTAGAATTTGAATGCCTTAACGCTCTTTTGGTTCCCACGAGTGCATAAATGATTGACATAAGTAAATTTTATGCATAAAGAAACTGTTTAAGAAGCTGTTTTTAATTCCCAGCAGCAGAAAATCGCGCACTTTACCAGGAGATTTTAATTTTAATTTTTAATTTTACAAGATTCGCCAAACATAACAGACATAAATAAGACTAATACTTTACAAAATTTACATACAATTCGGGCAGGGACTAGCCACAGAGATAATCTCCAATTATGGGGCCCGTCACAATAAGAGTGAGGTCGCACTGTTTCAAAGGTTGTTGCTGATTGGTTCATAGGTGTAATGTTGGTGGTCGTGGTGGTCGGCCAATCATATTGATTTCTGATAAAAGCTTATTCAAACATTAACTTAATTAACACATTAAATATTAATTTATTACTAAAAATGGTACAATAATAGTGAAAACGAATCGTCATACAGTTTGATATCAACATAATTACATTTAATACACTCTGGGACATATTGCATTTGGGACTTATGAGTTTAATGCAAGTGGAAGCTATGGTCGACCTAGCAATGCATTGATATTGCTGATTTATAAAGGTTATTACTCTATTATAAAGATTCAGTACAAATGGAAGGCTAGTACAAGATATGTATGTATGTATGTATGTATATATAATATATATGTATGTATGTATGTATATATAATAATATTTGTGATATATGATGGTTGTTTTAATATCAATAATATTGCTCTAAAAAATAAAATTTGCAGGATAGTACAATATATATGCAGCAGTAGCAGTTGAGGTAGTGAGGCGGTGGTGGCAGTGGTGGCGAAGGTGGCGGTGGTAGCAAGCCAATAATATTTGTGATATATAATGGTTGTTTTAATATTAATAATATTGCTCTAAAAAAATAAAATTTGCAGGGTAGTACAATATATATGCAGCAGTAGCAGTTGAGGTAGTGAGGCGGTGGTGGCGATGGTGGCGGTGGTGGCGGTGGTAGCAAGCCAATAATATTTGTGATATATAATGGTTGTTTTAATATTAATAATATTGCTCTAAAAAAATAAAATTTGCAGGATAGTACAATATATATGCAGCAGTAGCAGTTGAGATAGTGAG